TCCGGCGTTCTAACAAAGAAATTATGACGCTGCGTTCACAGCACGGTGCTCTACCTTAACGATACATTTCCACATTTCGTTGTACCGAGGTGGTCGAGATGGCTTATGATGAAATATTACTAGCCAGTCGGAAAGTCATAAGAAACACGCTAAATATTCGTAACTCTTTGAAATGCCTTACGTCAACAGACATTATAACCACAGAGGAAATTTCCATCTTCTCAAGCATGATACATAGCATAGCCTTAAAAAAACTACCTCAGAATGTACTCTAAAACCCCGATCAGAGTCAGCTCGCTCGGCAAGCTCGCAATGTTGAAGGATACGGGGGTAGCCAAGCAGCGCGAGCTCGCTGCGGCAAAACTCGTAACGGGTCGCGCTCAGAGTGGCGCGACTTGGCGAGCTTGTAATGCTCTGAAAGCTCGTGTACAGCGTATTTTATGATTTTTTTGAAAAAAGTTTTCCGGTGTTCTAAAACTATAGGACACTCACCTCCTATACAGAAAAATTTTTTACAGTTGAAAGGTTGCTCCACAATGACCACAGTTTACAGGTAAGAAAGAATTTCTGGTATACTGCCAACTTAGCTACCTATGTTTTTGGCGCTGAGATTTTAGCGCTGGAAATCCATAACGCTTTAGAGCCCCTTTTCACAATCCATGACACGCCAGCTCGATATCGTTTGTTACTCTACATTACGTGTCTCTGCTTTATGATAAGTACCCTGCAAGAGGCATCTTTTACAGGCATGCAGTGGAGCTTCAAAGGAATTTTCACAAGAAAATTGGTATCGTTTTTGTTGTATTGTCCACTATTTTGAAAAAGCTTTCGAAAGGATATATTTATACTTCTGCGTCGGCATCTTTGATCCAGAACGGGTATCTTGCAAAAAGCACTTGATGGCATTCTGTGGAAGCCCTAGTAGGCCTTTCAGAATGAACTCGGTTTTCTTTTTGGTGTATTTTGTCGTTTTAAATATTCATACTTGAGTTCAGTTTGTT